ACTCGTCTATAATTTTGGTGCTTTCAATATGGATGCTTTGTAAATCTACTGTATTTGTTTATTCAACATTTACACAAATTATTAAAAATTTAATAAAATTATATTGAATTGTATAAAACAAAAAAAATTCAAATATTTTTATAATTTCAAAATAAAAGTTTTTGTGAGAAAATAAACACATTGATTATAATTAAAAAAATTATGGTACGGGCAATATCCACTTTATGAATATGGCACATATAGTAGATTATGATAAATAAAATAAAAATGTATAAAATAAGAAATATATTAATTAGTTAATAATAATTTTAAAACAAATTATAAAAATGAAAATTCTATTATTCATAGCATTGGTGTCTATAGTGAGCGCACAGTTTGACGATTTTGATATCAATGACTATAAAGATGTGATAAATTCACGAAACTTTACGGGAAAAGTAGTTTTGGTGACCGGAAGTAGTTCTGGAATCGGGGAGGGGATCACAAAACTGTTCTCTATATTAGGGGCCAATGTTGTGGTCACCGGTAGGAAAGAAGCGGATGTCCAGAGAGTTGCCAAAGAAGTGCAGGAATTGTCGCCAAAGAAACTGAAGGTTAGACTAAATCACTAAAATTTAATATTTAAAAAATTGTAACTTTTAATTGAATTTAATTATAATGAACAGCCATTAGAAGTGGTCGGAGATCTCACCAAAACTGAAGTCATTACCACTTTGATCGCGAATACTATCAAAACATTTGGCAAATTAGATGTTTTGGTGAATAACGCCGGCATATACCCGGACACAAACATTACACAAAAAGATTTATTACAAGTTTGGGATCAGGTCTTCAACATAAACTTGAGAGCAGTCGTCGAACTAATCCACGAATCGGTTCCATATCTGGAGAAGACTAACGGCACTATCATTGATATCTCGAGTATTTTGGGAATAGCACTGGTATATAACACGCTATTCAATAACACTATATGTATAAAGGAATTCCATAGTGTCCTTTCTGTCAATACAAATACTGTACAGTACTGTACTTGACGTTGACTTACAGGTAATGTATTAATCAGAAATAGGCATGCATACTAGGTGACATAAGTTCATAATAGTACAGTATTTGTATTGACAGAAAGGACACTATGGAATTCCTTTATACATATAACATTAATATAGTATTTATATTGCATTTATTAATTAAATTAATATATTCCAGTTGTCAACCAAATTAACATACAGTCCGGTCAAAGCAGCCATTAGAAGTGGTCGGAGATCTCACCAAAACTGAAGTCATTACCACTTTGATCGCGAATACTATCAAAACATTTGGCAAATTAGATGTTTT